GCCTTCGTTCTGGACTCCCGTCATGACAATAATACCTAATCACATATCCCTTTTAAACAGATCTCTTCCTCATCTGTTTCAATGCAGTATACATAATTTACCCCATCTCTGTCAGTCACCCCCCAACCCTGATGTCAGTCCTGTTTTACAACAGTGGAACTATGCAGTATTTCCCTTCTGTAACTGGGATATTTCACTCAGCATAATGTCCTCCAGGGTCACCCACAAAATTGCATTAACACTTTTAGCAATAAAAAAAATCACTTGTATCAAACTTCACTTCTAATGTCATCATTATATAACTACATAGGCATATGCTGCAAACATGCATCAAGTATGTACCTCTTCTCATGGATAATCTTTAAAGTGCCTGTTCCTTTTTTCAGTGATTAATGTTGCCTACAAATGATAAGGACAATCAAATTACCTTTATATTTCTCCCATAGTTTTTACCAGTGCCACTAAAAGTTTTTGAGTATATCTTTGAAGCCAGGGCAGCAGGAGAGGTTGTTAAAAATAGTACAATTGCTTTCTACAAAGATGGCGCCGAAAGGAAAGCGAAGGAAGCCCCTGCCCCTCCCAAAATTGAAGCCAAAGCAAAGGCATTGAAGGCCAACAAGGCAGACCTGAAGGGCATCCACAGCCAAAAAAAAAAGAAGATCCACACGTCACCCACGTTCCGGCGGCCTAAGACGCTGGGACTACGATGGCAGCCCAAATACCCCCGGAAGAGCACCCCGAGGAGAAACAAGCTTGACCACTATGCCATCATCAAATTTCCCCTGACCACTGAGTCAGCTATGAAGAAGATAACAACACACTTGTGTTCATTGTGGATGTCAATGCCAATAAGCACCAAATTAAACAAGCTGTAAAGAAGCTCTATGACATTGATGTGGCCAAGGTCAACACTTTTATTAGGCCTGATGGAGAGAAGAAGGCCTATGTTTGACTTGCTCCTGATTATGATGCTTTGGATGTCACCAACAAAATTGGGATCATCTAAACTGAGTCCAGCAGGCTAATTCTAAATATAATAAATTTTTCTCACCATAAAAAAAAACAAAACAAAACAGTACAATTTATTTAACAGTAATGTTTTCTAGTTTATCACACCATCTTCTATGTTTTCTTCTACTTTATAGATATATTAGGTTTTCTGGTAGTGCAATGGTAAAAAAACAGCCTTCCCTCTATATAATTCTGTCTTCTCTTTTATGAGTCAGGTGGATTATACCACAAGGGCCAAAACAACAAACAGATCTGTCTTTGGGAAGTGTAGCCTCAGAGGTAAGGATGGTGAAACTAAGCTTTACGTACTTTGGACTTGTGGTCAGGAGGGGCCTGCCCTTATAAAAAGGCATCATGCTGGAAAAGGTAGATGGTCAGTAAAGGGTTTCTCTCAAGGAGATGGACTGGCGCAGTGACTGGAATAATAGCTTAAGCATGACAGAGATCACGTGAATGGCACAGAATAGAACGAGGTTCAGATCTGTTTTTTAAAAGGCTGTGATAGTTCTGAATAATAACAATCAGCTTGAGTAGACTTAATTCCCAAACACTATTTGGTTTGTTTTCACAGCTGCCTCATGCTATTATAGTAACATCTGGTTTTGAGTTCTAAAAGTGTTATGTCCAGATCAGAGTTAGGCATGATTCTGTCTTTCAGCTGTCTTCATACAAGGAAAACTGCGGCTTCAGAAGAGCCACCTTTCAGGAAAGATATTCTATACCAACACCTCCCAAAAGACTTTTCCATCCAAAGTATTTGCTTTCCATCCAGAAGAGTACATTCCCGTCACTTTGCCATCATTTTCTACATTTTAAAAATGCAAGCCTTAAGTTGTAATACCAAAGAATTCTATGAGTAAAATACTAGCGATGATAGAAGAATTGATGTCTTTGACTTCTTGTGCTGGAGAAGAATGTTGAATATACCATGGACTGCTAAATGAACAAGTTTGTCCTAGAGAGGGTGAGGCCAGGCTGCTCTTTGGAGGCAAGGACTGTGAAGCTTTGTCTGACATACTCTGAACATGTTGCAAGGAGAAACCAGTCCTTGGAAAGGGACATCATGCTTGGGAGGATGGAGGGACAGTGCAAGAGAGGAAGACCCTCGATGAGATGGGTTGATTCAGTGACTGGGGTAATGGGGATAGGTGTGTCAGAGACTAAGTTTGGCACAGGATAGAGCTGGGTTTAGAGTTGTTGTACATAGGGTCGCTATGAGTCGCATTCAACTCGACAGCACATAACAACAACATGAGTAAAATGCTAATTGATGTAGGAAGCATCAGAAGATAGAAGCATGTACACAGTCACAAAAAGAATTGGTCTACATTAAACTGTTTTAGGGGGTAGTATATGATCAGTAACTGACAGTATTGAAAGAAAAAAAAACCAAAATACAAAAGTGCACTGAAAGCACTGGGGAAAAACAAGGCTCCAGACATGACAGAATAATAATGTTGGAAATGTTCACTTTTCTATGCCAGTAAATTTGGAAGCTAACTATCTGGCCAAACTACTGAAGATTCATTTTTGTGCCCATTTGAAGGAAAAGTAATCCAACAAAATACATAAATTATTTCATAACACTCTTGGCACCAGCAGTTGGGAAATCAAAAGATGAATTGCATTAGAAAAATCTGCTGTCAGGGACCTCTCCAGAGTGCTAAAGAGCAAAGATGTCAGTCTAGAGACTAAGGTGCATCTGATACAGGCCATGGTCTTCACAATTACTTGTTATGCATCAGAGAGCTGGACAATGACCAAGGATGACAAGAGAAGAATCTATGCCTCTCAGTGGTAGTGCTGGAAAAGAGTATTGAATATACCACGGACTGCCAAGAGAACTAACAGGTCTGTCCTAGAGAGGGTGAAACCAGGCTGCTCCAGGAGGCAAAGATTTTGAAGCTCCATCTTACTTACTTTGGTCATGTAGCCAGGAGGGACCGATCTCTGGAGAAGGATTTCATGCTTAGAAGGATCGAGGGACAGTGCAGGAGAGGAAGACACAGGATGACATGGAGTAACACAATAACTGGGGTAATGAGGATGTCAGAGACAGTGAGACTGGCTCAGGATAGAGCAGGGCTCAGAGATATTGTGCCTAGCTAGGGTCACTATGACACAAGTGACTTGACAGCACACAACAACATCATTTTAGACATCTCTGGTGGTCGAATCCATCAGTGGTTCTACTGGAGAAAAACGAGCAATCTCCTCTTCTGCAATTTATAACCTTTGAAAACCAGCTGGAGGGTCACTTCTGTGTTAGTTCTCCCTCAACAGCAATGAGTGAGTAAATAACATCTTAGTATCACAAATTAAGTAAAAATTTTTATGGAAGGTAATTTACAAATGGTTGCAGCAGTTTGTCTTCAAGTAACTGCCAAAAGTTCAAGCCAGTTCAGAAGAGGATGTGGAAGAAAGGATATTGTTGCTGAAGTCAGAGGGATATTGGCTGAAAACAACAGAATGCCAGAGAGCTGTTTATCAGGTTTTATTGAGTATTTTTAAAGGTATTCAACTGTGTGGATCATAACAAATCATGGATAACAATACAAAGAATGGGAAGAAAGTACTATAGGCAACATTTTCAACGGATAACCCTGCAAAGAGTGGGAACATAATTGTGCTGTTGGAAAACCTGTACATAAACCAAGGAGCAATGGCTTGAACAGGAGTATAAGGCATAATTTAAGATCCAAAAAGGTGTCAGTCAAGGTTTAATCTTTTCACTAAACTTGTTCAATCT